GGTAGAGTGCTATGGCATCACAGCTCACAGCAACCTCCAACTCCTGGGCTCAAGCGAGTCTCCTGCCTCAGCCTCCCAAGTAACTGGGACTACAGGCACCCACCACGGTGCCAGGCTATTTTTTGGTTGCAACCGTCATTGTTCTTTTGGCAGGCCCAGGCTGGATTTGAACCCACCACCTTAGCCACTTAAGCCATAGGTGCCGAGCCTTCTTTTTTTTTTTTGCAATTTTTTAGCCAGGGCTGGATTTGAACCCCACCACCCTTGGCATATGGGGCCAGTGCCCTACTTCAGCCACAGGTGCTACCCTGTTTATTTTTTGAGACAGAGCCTCAAGCTGTCGCCCTGGGTTGAGTGCTTTGGTATCACAGCTCATACCAACCTCCAATTCCTGGTTTTAAGCGATTCTCTTGCCTCAGCCTCCCCGGTAGCTGGGACTTTAGGTGCCCACCAGAACACCTGGCTATTTTTTGGTTGTAGCGTCCTTGTTTGGAGGGTCTGGCCTGGATTCGAACCTGCCAGCTCTGGTGTATGTGGCTGGCACTTTAACTGCTTGAGCTACAGGTGCCAAGCTTAATTTATTTTATTTTATTTTGTTTTCATTTATTATTTTTCTGAGACAGAGTGTTACTATGTAGCCCTCGGTAGAGTGCTGTGGCATCACATCTCACAGCAGTTTGAAACTCTTGGCCTTAACCAATTCTCTTGCTTCAGGCTGCTAAGTAGCTGGGACTACAGGTGACTGCCACAACACCTGCTGTTTTTTCTTTTGTTGAAGATGTCATTGTTGTTTAACTGGCCCAGGCTGGTTTTGAACCTGCCAGACTCTGTGTCAGTGTGGCTGGCACCATAACCACTGTGCAACAGGTGTGGAGCCTTTTTCTTTATTTTTTTATTTTTTATTAATTAATTTATTTTTTATTTATTTTTATTTATTTTTTTATTTTTACAGTCTTTGGCTGGGGCTGGGCTTGAACCCACCACCTCCAGCATATGGGGCCGGTGCCCTACTCCTTGAACCACAGGCGCCACCCCCCCCTTTTTTTTTTTTGAGACAAAGAATCTCAATATGTTACCCTTGGTAGTGTGCTGTGGCATCATGGCTCACAGCAATGTCAAACTCATGGGCTTAAGTGATTCTCTTGCCTCAGCTTCCTCTGAAGTAGCAGGGACTCTAAGTACCTTCCACAACACCTGGATATTTTTGTTGTTGTTGCTGGTGGTGGTGGTGTCGTTGTTTAGCACACCCAGGATCCAAACCACTAGCCCTGGTACATGGAGCTGGCGCCCTAATTGCTGAGCTGTGGGTGCTGAAGCAGGTCATTGAGTTTTGTTTTTTTTTTTGTAGAGACAGTCTCACTTTATCGCCCTCTGTAGAGTGCTGTGGCATCCCACTCCTGGGCTTAGGTGATTCTTTTGCCTCAGCATCCTGAGTAGCTGGGACTACAGGTGCCTACCATAATGCCTGGCTATTTTTTGTTGCAGTTTGGCTTGGGTTGGGTTTGAACCCACCACCCTTGGTGTATGTGGCTGGCACCCTACCCACTGAGCCAGAGGCACCGCCCGGGTCATTGACTTCTCAACAAATATTAGTGTTTTAACTGTGTTTGGATGTCGACCCCGAACAAAGAGCTAGTTGAAAGGTTCTGGGATCCTGGCGTGTCTTATGGGAGATGTCTCACCTTTGCACCCTGACCTCAGTCTTGGGCTGGGTGAGGAAGCATGTATGTGTCGTGGAAGAATGTGGAAGATGGTTTGGATCCTCCTGCTCTGTGACCAGGGCCACCTTCTCTGTGGAGCCCCTATACTCATCAGCCTGATAAGCCCGGGTTCATGTTGTGGGTGCTTTGATCCTGAAATACTTTCTGTCTATAGTCTGGTTTACATTATGCTGTCTGGATTCTATAACATGCATATTTCTATAAGGCGAAGGAAGGCTTTATAATTGAAACTAGTATTAACCTCACCAGTTTGGCATCTGTAAAATCATTTTTTTGCTTAATTATGTCCCCCCCCCCCTTAATTTCTTCTCTCTTTTTTGGAAGACAGAGTCTTTATTGCTCTGGGTAGAGTGCTGTGGGATCAGTGCTCCTGGCAACCTCATTCTTTTGGGCTCAAGTGATCCTCTTGCCTCAGCCTCCTGAGCAGCTGGGACTACAGGCACTGCTGCAACATCTGCAGTGTTTAGAGATGGGGTTTCGCTCTTCGTCAGGTGGTCTCAAACTCACGAGCTCAGGCCGTCCACCACACTGACTTGGCCTCCAGAGTGCTAGGAATTATAGGCCTGGCCACTGGCCTGGCCTTAATTATGTTAATTTCAAAAGCTGAGTTGATTTCCATATTTTGGATGTGACCAGTACTCTTCATTCTTCTCAAGGTACCGAAAACTGGCACTAAAGTGGCACCCAGATAAAAATCCTGAGAATAAAGAAGAAGCAGAGAGAAAATTCAAACAAGTAGCTGAGGCGTATGAGGTGTTATCAGATCGTAAGTAACACTGAACTGGGGAAGGACTCAGAGTATGTGTTTTGGAACTCTCGCCAGGGGTTTTTGAATGTGGACACAAGGGAATGTTTGGTGCAAAGTGGGTTTTGGGCCCACTGAGAATGTTTTCACTTTCCTTATAATGATTAAATCAGTATAGTTAACCATGAATGCTTAGGGAGGAGCACCTGGCCTTCTAGCAGTTTCTCTTAGGATAGTTCTCAAACACTACCTAACATCTGGGGATGGTGGGGCCAAGGAGATGAAGTGCGGGACATGATTTTGGTCCCTGTGCATGAGGTGGTGGTGGTTGTGCTGATGTTTTTGGTAATGTCTGAGCATTTTGACCTCTCAGTTCCTGTTGACTTAAGTCAGTAACTTGCTAATAGAGTGGATTTTCGTGCTTGAGAGGATGTCATTAATTGTAGGAATGAGAGGATTTAACATACAGCTCAGATTTGGACTTCTGACCTTGAGTCTGTCTGTCCCACCTCATCTGAAGGGTAGTTGTTGAATGTTGTTAGAAATGAGACTGGTTGGCCTGGTTTACAGTTAGTGAAAGGACAGTGGTCGTGTGAAGATAGACCCTGTAGGTCCTGGGGGCTGGAGGCTTAGTGTCAGAGCACCGGGGAACCACTGCCAGTGTCCTGGTATATGACAGCAATGGCCTCAGTGAGGGGAGGCAGTCGAAAGATTGGAGACTGAGTCACTGACCACAGGAAGTGGACATTGCTTTGGTTTACCCACATGTGCTCAGGTAATAGGACGCTATTTAACAAAAACTTAAAGGGAAACCTGATTTAACTCTGGCCATCCTTCAGCACTTAGGAACAAATGATCAGCCTTGCTTTCTCTATTTGACACTGTTCCTTTGTTGTAAAAGAAGTACCAGATTTTTTTTTTTTTTTTTTAGACTAAGACTCTCACTATGTTTCTCTTGGTAGCGTGCTGTGGTGTCAACAGTTCTCAGCAACCTCAAACTTTTCGGCTTAAGCTATTCTGTTGCCTCAGCCTCCCAAGTAGCTGGGACTACAGGCACCCACTACAGCGCCTGGCTATTTTTTGTTGCAGATGTCATTGTTTAGCTGGCCCAGGCCAGGTTCGAGCCCACCAACCTCGGTGCACATGGCTGGCTCCATAACCACTGTCCTACGGGCTTTGAGCCGGAAATACCAGATGGTTTATTTCCCAAGTATGATAACACACAAAATACTGGTAGTTGAATTTTTTTTTTTTTGAGAGAGAGTCTTATTTATTGCCCTGAGAGTGCTCTGGCATCACAGCTCACAGGAACCCCAAACTCTTAAGTGATTCTCTTGCCTCACCCTCCTGAGGAGCTGGGACTACAGGCACCTGCCACAGCAACAGACATTTTTTTCGCTGTTGTTCAGGCTTTTTTTGAACAATGAGCTTGGGCGATCCACCTGCCTTGGCCTCCCAGAGTGCTAGGATTACAGGTATGAGCCATCGCGCCTGGCCCCTTCATAAGTCTTCTGAATCAGTTTTTTATTGTGACGGAGCCTCAAGCTGTCCCCCTGGGTAGAGTGCCATGGCATCACGCTCACAGCAACCTCCAACTCCTGGGCTCAAGCGAGTCTCCTGCCT